CTGAGGAGCAATATGTTTTTTTTAAAAAATATGCTATCAATGGAATATTAGAAGCCCCAGAAAATTTGGGAAAAGTTCATGATAATCTGAAATAAATGTGTACAGAAACATTAATCTTTTCTGGATTTGCAGTATGCTACTATGGGAATAAGCCATATTGTAGATTTATAGCATTTGGTCTTGAGGTTCACATTATTCATATTCTACACAATGTAATGTATCTTTGAGCTTTAGGTAATGTGAAGTTTTACTTCTTTTACTTTCTGATGTTTCATCTACTGTGGTTGAAAAACTAAATGAATTATCTCAGTTAATGGGTGCTTGGGGAATTCTTTATTATGGCCAAAAATCAGCAATTTAAATTAGCTCACAAGAACATGTATGCTCTGGCTCCTGTGCTTGTGCAATTTCTTTACCCAAGGTCAAAATCACAACTAACACAATTGTACTTAGAAGTACTTATTAAGTTTGAGTTTACTCCAAGGCACTGCAACCTAGTGATCAAGATGCTGATATGAACTATCCCCCCCCCCCCCCGTGATGATATCAAGGGGAAGACTAGATAAATAAAACTGGAAAAAAATAGTGGCATAATATGCTTTTAATATATGTAGAAGTTCTGTAGGCATTTCCTAGAATATGCCGATGAGGGAGGAAGGGAGGGAAGGAAGGAATTTCTCAGGCAGATTTTGTATCTTTGTCTTATAGGTAGATATATTTATTGACTGATAGCCAATTTCTAATTTCAGGTAAACTATTTTATATTTTAGTGAGCAAGATTTGTTTACCAATATAAATATTTTAGATATTTAAAAACATTTTGCAGGGCTTTTGAAACTTTCAATATTTATTATCTTCATAGTAAAAGTAGGGGGGGTGGCTTTGAAGAATGGAGCATAAGTACCTAAAAAAAAAGAATAGTTACATTGCAGAACAGAATAGGGAATGTTTGGAACCATTGATTTCAATGTGCTTTGTTCTATTTCAGATACTAATAATTAGTGCTTGTTTCAAAAAATAAAGGATCAGTGGGGGTTTTCTTTGCTGATAAACATAGGGCTTTAATATAGCAGAAGAAATTTAGTTTTGTACTGTGAAGATAAAAAGCAATGATGCTGAGTATCCAAAATTATTTATTATAGGATATTTTTGAATGACTGGAGTTTAAAAGAAATCTCAGTAAAGTGATATGCTTTCACACTTTTGAATGTACTATCACATAGAAAACAAATGGTAAAATATGTCAGATTAGTGAGAACAATATATTTTGATTTCAGTAAAAATTTGTCAAAGTACTTCATGACATGCTGATTAGCAAGTTAATGAAGTATAGGCTGAATGGTATACGAATGGATACAGAGCTGGCTTGAACATGATACTCATGGGTGGTTCCTTCAGATTGGAGTAAAATATTATATAAGATGACTCAGAGAAAGATTGGTGGAGGACTATGGATGACCTTAGGGAAAAAAAAAATAGGGATATAACAGCACTCTTCAAATACCTGAAAAAACACTGCATAAAAAAAGTCAGAAATCAGTTCTCTCATTCCAGAGTGCAACAGATGATATAATAGATTTAGACTATAAGAAGATAGGATTCAAAATAAATTTTAGTAAGAGTATCCTAACTGTTAAGAGCTGTTTGATGATGAAACCAACTACCCAGAGAGATGGTGCTTCTTCTTGGAGGTATTCCAGTAGATAAATATTAGAAACCATTTTTCTGAAACAGTTTAATTTGGATTTCTGCATTAACCAAGGTTTATAAAAAGTTTAAATGTTCAACTTTATAATTCTGAAGGGGGCTCTATGTGGTGTATAAACAGTATTCTAAACAGCACTCTAGAGTAGATTTTACTGATTTGATTTGATTTGGAAGAAATCTGAATTTAAGTATTAAGAGAATCAAAGATTATTAACAGGTTGGGTTCCTACATGTAGGATAGGTGCTGACATTTGTTTCTTGAAAATAATATTTCCTATGAGTAGCATCTCCAAAAACTACTCATCTATCTTCTGTGAAGGAAGTTGCTTAGAAACTTTATTTGAAATATTTACATCAAATTGCCTTTGGCCTGTGAATTATATATGTTTTCTACATCAGTGAATATACATCATGATGCATGTATCCCCTCCTTTTTTGAGACCTGTGTGTTATAGTATATTACTATATTGAGCATGTGGGCTTGCAGAAGAGTTTCCAAATGTTAAATTGCGAACTATGTTTTAATCCTGAGTAGCATATAATTACAATTGCAATATTAATAAGCTACTCAAATTATTCTACTAATTCTCAAACAAGTGGTTGATGTATTATGCCAAAATGCTTTCCTTATGATCAGGAGGTAGGTGATAATAGATATGCTCAAACATTTCCAAGTATTGTACTACATTGCTGCATGTATGAATATGTGAACTGAAGCTACAGAACCTGTTTTTAAATATTTGAAAGGGGTCAATATTTCTTCCTATCTTTTTTTAGTATGTTACCATATCACATCTTTCTGTATTTGTTCTTTATAGTTTTATGAAGTATTCTCAGTTAAATTCAGTTTTGGAAAATGACAATTACATTTTATGTTTTTTAATCAGTTAATATAGTACAATATAAAATTCTTGTCTTATTCATTATGAGATTTCTGACTTACCGTATATCAGACTTAATCTCAATCTCTAAATACTTCTTAGCAATGTTACTATTGTTATGTTATTCTTCATTTTATTCTTATGTATGTTATTCCTGTTTCGAATGGGCCATGTATTAAATTGTTATTATCTGTGTTTTTTCCCTTTTATTTTACCATGAAAAATATTTAACTAGTCTTCTGAAGTACACAAGTGAAGCTTCTCTACACATATAAATTTGGTTAAAGATACGCTATGTCCTACTGAATTTATAGCAATTATTCAACTCCTGACAATCATTATTTGATGTCATAACAATAATCACTGTAATATTTGCAGCATATAATAAAGAAGATACTCCCGTCCCAGTTGCTGATGCCAGCTCAGTTTACAGGATTGGATATATTTGATTATCCTAGCATATGGAATTATTCATCTTTTAATTAGGAGAATCACTGAGAGAAACTATGCAAAAGAAGAAAGCTGGATAAGAATCCATAGCTTCAAAATGCAAGATAGTCTTCCCAATTCATTATCATGCATGTTTAAGAAAGTGCAGAATAAGGAAAATGAACACAAGATATGCAAAATCAGTTAATGTTCAACCTGTCAGTGGGTTGCAGGATAATTACTTAGCACTAGGTACACTTTGTTCATTATACAAATTAAAAAATGAAAAAAAATAGTATACCCTTTCCCCCAACCACATGTAGAAAAGCACTTAAAGTTCAAAGGTAAAGCTTGGCACACTCCAAATACGAAATGATTTACTTTACATGCAGCAAAATATACAAGAATTGTTATTTTTTCCCCTTAAACAAACTTAATTCATTATATTTGCTTGGCACAATTGCTATTCAGTTTAAAAAAATAGTTGAAAAATACTGAAACTGACCTGAATTCAAGTATTACGGTTTCTTCAACAGAAACATTATCAATGCAATAAAACATCACACGGAATATATTGAAATATAACTCCTTCTCACTTGGTTGTTTTTGTTTGTTTTTAATCCCCTTGTTTTGTTTTTCTATACAGTTTTAATGCCAGCACAATTCACACATTTTATTCAAAATTAATATTATTGCATTGTTTTTGCATATCTTGTGGAACAGAAAATGCAAAGAGTTACTGATTCCCCTTTCAAAAGCAGAGACAGTGATTTATTTTTGCACTCAAATCACCCCAGATAAAGCTCTCCTTCAGTTATAACCAGGAAATGGAGAACTCTATCAAGTTGCACACTTTCAAGTGTGTATTCACTTGCTCACTCATTCACCCAGTCCTGCTCATTCGTTCACACATTGCAAATATACCTAGTACTATAAAGAATCCAAATCAATCATTCATATGTGCAAGATTATATCAAGTGCATTGCCTACTATCTTTAAATTATAAAACAACAACAAAAAAAGGAAATTTTCATTACTTCAAATAAAATTACAAAGTCTGGTATACATTATGATTGGCAAAACTCCTAATATCATTAGCTTCTACCAAATGTCAGTGGAGGAAAACAAAAACAAAAAAAATAAATCAATGTTAAAACATTTGTGAAGGTGAAAAACAAAAAGGCAGGTGATTACAAAACTCTGTAAACACTCCATCCCTCTCCCTTAAAAAATAAAATACAATAAAATAAAGTATCCAAAAAATAAAAATTGGAACATGCTTTCAAGAAAATATTAAATAGCAAGAACAAGGAGAGATCTACATGAGCCTGAACTCCTTTTGACAGAGCTGGCTTCATGCTCTTGGAGCCATTGGCACAGCTAACTGTCTTGAACTCAATTTGGCAGAGATGGCTGCCTGAGCTCTGATTGGTTGGCAGAGAAGACTGCCGGGGAGTCTCTGCATTTCCACCCAGAAATATCTGCAATATTGCCACCTGCATCTCCTATCTTGCAACTTCTGCTTCCTTCTCCTCAGCAATGTGTGGGATCTGTTGCAGAAGTCTATTTCACTTGTAGATCAGAAGGGTCTTGGCTTATGGAGACAGTGAGGCTCATACAGAACATGTGCAAAATGATTCCTCTTTGTACAAGCAGAATTGAAAGACACCCGCTTGACACAGTGTCCTTTTGGCTACAGCCATCCACAGGAAGTTGAGGTTTTCCTTCACATTCAGGAAGCAGCTGTTGTTCCTTGTGCAGGGACTGAAAAAAAGAAGGGAGCTGACACACTGCCTTTTACTTCTCCTGATTTCTTCCTTCACGGACACATGCTGGGGTTGTATATTCACTCCTGAAAAGCTCTTTTACACCACCCAACTCTGCAATTCTTCCCGACAGAAATAAATGAAGAATGCTGTTCTGGTTACTCCTGGTCACGAGAACAGTGAGGCACTTCTGAAACAAACCCATTAGGAACATTGAAACAAATTAAAAAACCAGCATCACTTTCAGCTTCAGCAACTACAGGCTGCTGATATAAATCCTGGTATCCTTAGACTCCTCTTGACTTTTCCTACAATCTGGGTTTTGGGCTGCTTCTGCTTCTTCACCCATACAGTCCTGCCCCGGGTCCCTGCAGTTAACAAAAGGCAAGAGGTTGCCATTGGGGCTTGGTTTGCTGTTACCATTGAGAATGTTGTCTGCAGCATTCTCCATCTCTTCTATTGTCAAGTCACAGGCATCAGCTAGTTCTTGGGTGGTAACCTCAATGAACTTTGGATCTTGAGCAAACTGCATCAGTCCTTCCGAAATCAAGACCTTTTATAATCCAGGACATCAAACACAAGGAACAAAAGTGAATATCAGTATTAATATCACTGTTATAGCAAGGATCAAAGAAATCAGTGAAAGAAAAAAAAGATACAAAACACTTGATAAATAAAGAGATGAATTTATATCTGCAAATTCAAAAAGCCCAATGAGATTGTTTTATATATAAAATTACAATTGAACCCACATCTTTAATTGACAGATGCTACATATGTGGCTGTGGAAGTGGAGATGCATGGGATTAAATATATTTGTACTGGATTATATGTACTACATGATGATAAAGAGAATTTTTTTAAAATACTTGATGAATCAATTGTCTTTGTTTTCATACCAGAATTGGTATACATTGGGGCATTGGAATAGCGTATCCCTTCCTAATTTGATAGAACAACTAGTAAGGGAATTAAATCCAATCAGGGTAAGTTATCAATTTTTTTTATTTGATGAACAACTTGGCATTGGTAGAGACTCTTTGAGATAAAAAAATGAAAAATTCAAGAGCGTATACTTTTTTTCAGAAAAACAAATCTTTTTCCAGAATTGATTTGATATGGACTTCAAAAACTTTGGCTAATATATAGACCAAGTAGGCATTTTATCAAAGACTTTTTCTGACCACTCCAGTTAAATTAATACTAAAGACAAAATTTACCATTTCAGGTGGAAATTAAATGAAGCATTACTTCAAAAAGACTGTGTAGTAGAGAATTGTAAAAAAAAATATCTTGACAAAGAGACAGAATTAAAGATTGCCTGGGATGCTAGTAAAGCTGCACTGACAAAGTGTTTTATTCAGTATAATTCTGAAATTAAAAAAAATCACAAGAAAAATGCAAACTATTCTAGAGGAAATTCAAAGAAAAGATGAACTATGGAAACACCAACAGATTCCTCCATTTTATATCAAATCAAACTTTTATAGCAACAATTACAGATGTTAACTGCATAATAAATAGAAACCAAATTAATGAAATTACTGAAACAGAAAAAAAATTGAATTTGCCAACGTACCAGGGAGACGGTTGGCTTATAAACTGAGAAAACAGAAAGAAAAAAACCCTAAAAATTCAAGAAGGTAATAAAACTGTAGTGGATAATGCATTATTATTCAAATTTATATAAGAGACAGGAAGTCTCCTTGGAAATACCGGAAAGGAGATGGATAATTATTTGAAGAAACAGAATTTACCAAAGCTTACACAAGCTCAGAAACAAATTATGAATAGCCCAATAACAACTTTTGAAACCCCAGAAATTATAATGAAAATTAAAACACGGAAAGCAGATTTTTAAATTTATGTTGGAAATGTTTTGAGGATCAACTTTTAATTCCACTTTAAAAAAGTGATGCAACTAAAAACTTTAATACATAAGGGTGCCATACCAGATTCCCAGAAAGAGGCAAATATTGTTTTATTACTAAGGAAGGACAAGATTTGGTTTTAATAAGATTTATAGACCAATTTCATTCTTGAATAATGACTATAAATTTTTTACAATAATATTGAGAGAGATTAAAATATTTTAATGAAAAACACAGGTGTTAAAATTGAGAATAAGGTTAAGTACTAGGGATTATACTAACTGACATGAATTGTATGTTGTTTCAGATTAACTAAATTAAAATATGAAATGACATTCAGAAAGACTAGTGAGATGGGATAAACTACAGTTCCCACTGTTGGGTAGAATGTTATTAAGACAAAATTTTACTTAGGATGTTATTTTTATTTCAAACTATACCAGTATTGGCAACTGATTTACCCTTTAAACAATGGTACAAAGACATTTCTAGAGTTGTATGACAAGGTAAGAAATCAATAATTAAACATAAGTTGTTGTAAGATGTGAAAGAAAGAGATGGATTAGGACTACTGGACTTAAAACTGTATTTTGAGGCATATTGTTTGGTATGGATGAAGGAATGGGTGACTTTAGGGAATAGATTTATTGGAGTTAGAGAAACATGAGTTGAGATTTGGGTGGCACAGCTACCTGTGGTATGGCAAAGGTTAATATAGATTTTAAAAATCATTTTATTAGACATGCCATATTGAGAGTTTGGAATAGTATAAAGTAACATTTTGTCCTAAAATCTCTTTATGGCCGTCACCACCGGAAGCCTTTTTTAGAAGAGAAATTTTAGTTATACCAACTTTGTTTACTTATGCTGATTTATTGATTGTTACTGAAAGAGAACCTAGATTAAAAACAAGAGAAGTGTTGGAGAAGGAAGGATATATTTGTCATTAGTTTGCCTAGGCCCAATTGGCAGAAAGATTTAAACTGAATAAAAATAATTCTGTTTTTGCAGATAAAAATACAGACTTTGAAAGTGATTATCTACTAATGACAAACTTCTCATTGCCAAATTATATAAATAGTTATTGAAAATGGACCAGGAGGATGAAGTTAAAGTGTATATGATTAAATAGGCAAAAACTTTGGATATAATATGGTTGATCAATGGGAAAACGTGTGGACTAATGGATTGAAATTTTATTGACGTATAATTTGAATTTTTTTTTATAAAAAGACATATTGCTGGTATTTAACTTCTGAGAAATTGTCAAAGACGTTTAAGGGAATATCAAATGAGTGCTGGAAAGGTAATCAATGTGAAGGTATCTTTTATCACCTTTGGTGGACATATAAGACTGAAAAAATATTGGGATCAGATATATTGTTTGATTCAGAAAATATTAAAAATGGTTGTAAAGTTGAAATCTGAAGCTTTTCTTTTAGGTATCATGGATAAACATTGAAAGAAAACATGGGATTTTGTTTCTATATATGACAATAGCATTGATACTTTTATATATCAAAGTGGAAAGATACACAAATTCCCACAATTGAAGAGGCAATTGTGAAATTAGAAGAATTGATAGAGATGGCAAAACTGACTACTTTGATGAAAGACAAAACCTATCTAGTTTGTTTCCATTTGGAGACCAGTTTTGGATTTCTTGTTTGAGAAAGATTAAAAATGAAGATTTGATTTTAGGTTTTGATCATTAGATCCATTATGATTATGGAAATAATGTCTATTTTTACTGTTATTATTAGATATGTGTACTATATATTCTTTTATGTTTATATTTAAACTAAAGTAATAGGTTATTTTCTTATATAATTCTAATGTTATTTTGATTGTTTAACTTACATATTTTATATGATTTCTGTGTTTTGTTTCAGCCTAGAGTAAGACATTGCTTTATTATATGTTTATAAAATCTGTAGTGAAGAAAGTTGGAAGACAACTTTTTCTTGTTTTGATTTCTTTTTTTTGTCACTTTTTAACATTTTTTTTCCTTTTTGGTCCCTTTCCCCCATTTTACTTTTCTGTTATGTTTTATCTCTCTTTGAAACTTAATAAAGTTGATAAAAAGTAATTAGTGAAAAATCTTGGCAGTTATACCCCCTTTGTTCTGAAGCCTACTCCTCTTCCAAAAATTCTTTCAAGAGTGGGAACCTCTGGGAATGAGATCAGAAATTGCTTATTGAGGAATGAGATGATTAAAAATGAATTCCACTTGCTAGGTTGATTAGAAGTTATATGTTTTGTTTTTCTTCTAGTTTTTACAACATGAACTGAAGAGAATCATTTTTTCCCCATAGTCATCAGTGTAAACTAATGTAACACCAAGAAACCTGGTTCCAGTAAAAGTGTGGTTATTAATTGACTAGTTCTGTCATTCAACTAATCTGCTGTGTATTGGGGATTTTGTTTTAACTGACAAAGTTAAAATATATTAATCAAGTCTAATTATTTACTTTGGACTAGTCTTCCCATTTCTATCGGCAAGCATCCTCTCTGTACTGAATTTTTCCTTGCCATATATTTATTGTTAATGATATTAGGAATATATATATATATATATCAGATAAAAACTGAAGGTTCTATCTGATGAATGGGACTAAGAATCTTGCCTTCCTAAATTAGTTTTTTCCAGATACATTGGAAGTATGACTTCCAACTATGGCTGTAGTCTATCTATTTGGCCACTTTGATCTTGCAGAGTTGGTATGCTCTGTGTTATTAATCAATGCTTATCTAAAAATTCAAATGTGGGTGCTTACCCTTATGTTTACAACTATGACATCAACTTACCGCTTCAACAAGGCTGTTGGCACTACCGTGGAATTGCCTGCCACTCTCTCTTGTCTGACTGGAAACTATAAGGGAGACTGGCCTGGCTTTTCGGGTGCTGCTAGAGCTGGTGCTATCACAATATGAGGAGCTGCAGTATATTGATGGGAAGCTATTATTGAGTTTCTCATTGGAGGCCTCCTCATCAGGCCACAACCCTTTATCATGTTGCTGTGGCCAGTCTTGTGTACAATGTGTTGCAGATGATGTGGAACAGGGTCGAGAAGATCTAATTGATGAATGACTACTTTGAAGAGGACTCTGACCTCCAACTGATAGTGCCTGTAGACAGAAAACATGATAAATTAGTGTGTCAGCAACATTGTGTTTCAGAACATGGGGAAAAATGAACCAAATATTTTTGAAAAAAGTTCAGCTTAACTTGGAGCTGGCTGTAGTTGAATAATGATATTCCTTTAACCTGCTGTTCTATATTTCATATTGACAATGTCCTCAATCTTACAGAAAACTAAAACATAGATCAAAAAGTAACTTTAACAAAAAATGAATGAATGTCTGCTCTTCACCTGTTTGTAACTTGAAACTTATTAATTGAACAAGGATAATACATGGCTCTGATTATTCTTGTATATACCGTAATACCATTTAGAATTTGATGGACAGTTTAATGGATTTTAAGATAATTTACGTATACTTTATACATGGGAGTGATTCTGTCATTTTTTTCTGAATAGAGAAGAGTGCCATTCATTTGAAACTAGTATGCTTGCTGGGAAGCTGTGTTTGTGTAAACTAGCACCTCTACATGATATGTAGATAGTCACCATGATTTTTATGACAGATTATTATAACAGAGATTTCTCATTATATTGTTTTAAGACATTGTAACATCATGCTCTATTTTAAATTCTCCAGTTCCATGATTTTATTACACTCTTTGGCCAATATAAAATAAAATCATGTCGGAATGAAAATTGCAGCACAAAATTTGCCCATGTAACATGACAGCTGAATTGTTACTTGCATTGAGTAAAAATTAAGCCATATTAAATGTTGTATTTCTGTATCAATAATTATTATCTATTAATGAGAGAAGTGAAAAACTCATTGGAAGGTAGTTTCGTTTAAATCAGTGATGGCGAACCTTTTAGAGACCGAGTGCCCAAACTGCACCCCAAAACCCACTTATGCATCGTCGAGTGCCAGGTGGGTGTGGCCCATTGGCTGGGTGTGGCCAATTGGGTGGGCGTGGCCCATTGGGTGGGTGTGACTGCGGTGGTAATGGCAGACTGGGTGGGACTAAAAAGTTCAATCAATCAATTCCAACTTTGCAAGAACTTTTTTTTACCCGCGAGAAGTTGAAATTGACTGATTGATTGAACCTTTTTTTGCACACGGCGGCGGAGGCCTAAAGTGAAAAGGTTTTTATAAAACTCAGCTGAAGGCCTAGAACTGGGGCGACGGCGCGCGTGCCCACAGAGAGGGCCCTGAGTGCCGCCTCTGGCACCCGTGCCATAGGTTCGCCACCACTGGTTTAAATCAATAGATGACTAATAAAAATCAAACTTTGACTTCAACTCTGATCAGACCTGCTTGAAATCATAGTGCTGTGTTAATGGAGCTATATAGTAGTTGGCTGGAGTTTAGCCTCAAAAAACTTTGATGGCTGCTAGGATCCAACGTCTATCTTTAGCTATATAAAAAAAAAGAATAGATAAAGCATTCCCATGGACATTGTTAATAACATCCCTTCTTATGCCACTCACTGTTACATGGAAGGTCAATCTGTAAAATCTGGGAAAGATTGTATTAAAGTGTTAAAATACTGTGTCATCAGGTTTGGTAGCTGGAAGAGAAAATTATCATTTTCTCTTCACTGTGCAAAACCCCAGCTATAGTTTACTATAGCTCATGAAGAAAAATATAAACTGCTTATCTCATGAAAGCCAAATGGCATCTTGTGCCATTTGGCTTTCATAAGATAAACACCATTTATATTTTTCTTCATGAGCTATAGTAAACTTTGTCCCTGAAAACTTCTCAGTCTTCCAAGTGGGTGATTCAATTAAAAATGACACCTTAAAGACTCTTGTAGTACTTTATCCAGGAACAAATATATTATGGCATGGGTGTTAGTGGTTATGGCTATAGTCCATTTCATCACATGCAGTTGATACCATAATAATTTGTTTGTTTTCAATTTTTGATAACTCTTGTGCTGTTGGGAGTTTGCTTTAGGAAAGTCAGTAAGTCATCTAATATAAAGATCTTACCCTCTAAGCTATCTTCAATTACTTTTCCAATTCTGTAGAACAGAATTCTGTAGTGATATTTTAAGCAGATAGCTTATTATTTGTAATATTAATTTGATTTTACTTTCACTAATAACCTTTTTATTAGATGTATACATTGGACATTAGATACATATATCTTATTAAATACATAGACTCAGATTAGAAAATTAACCATACCATTTATGATCAAAAGATCAGATTGTGTACCTTATTTTTTAAATGCAATATGATTCAAAGGATAGCTGTTTCTAGATGCAAATACTCACTTGACGATGTAATAGATGCAAAGGTAATGTTATTTTCTGGGGGACACCCGCAGTCTGATTTTTCTGTCTCTTTAGACACTCCAGATGAAAGGATGCTCTTCGATCTAGAAAGCCAATTACACAGTATGAAAATAGATTAATCCAACTGCATAATCATTGAAAGGAGAGCATTAGCCTATGAAGCAGACACAGGTATCAAATATAGGTAGCCCTTGACTTATGACTAGTCACTTAAGCGACTGTTTGAAATTACAATGGACAGCCCCAGAGCTATTATGATACAATTTCGAAGTTCTGATGGCTGCCTCCCCCCACGGTCATCTGACTGCATTTTGGATGCTTGACAACTACCCTTCATTTATGGCTGTTTGCAGTGTCCTGCGTCCTGTGACTGAAACTAGCATTTACTTCTAGTTGCTGGGGAAAAATGCCCACTGGGTACCATGGTTTTGCTTAATGTCCATGGAGTTTGTTTAATAACCACAGTGTGTGCTTAATGACCACTGCAAAAACATTGTAAAATTGGTGCGCCATTACTTGGTGACCCACTTAACAACCAGCATGATTTATGATTATAATCCCGGGCTCAATTGTGATCATATGTTGAAGTATCACACTTCCCTTGTATCACTGATAGGACTCTGTTACTTGTTTTCATGACATAATAATAATAATGATAAAGTTGGAAGGGACCTTGGAGGTCATCTAGTCCAACCCCCTGCTCAGGCAGGAAACCCTATACCATTTTTGACAAATGGCTGTCCAGTCTCTTCTTAAAAACTTCCAGTGTTGGAGCATTCACCGCTTCTGGAGGCTGGTTGTTCCACTGGTTAATTGTTCTAACTGTCAGGAAGTTTCTCCTTAGTTCTAGGTTGCTTCTCTCTTTGGTTAGCTTCCACCCGTTGCTCCTTGTCCTGCCTTCAGGCGCTTTGGAAAATAGCTTGACTCCCTCTTCTTTGTGGCAGCCCCTGAGTTATTGGAAGACTGCTATCATGTCCCCCCTCGTCCTTCTCTTTGTTAAACTAGACATACCCAATTCCAGCAACCGTTCCTTATATGTTTTAGCCTCCAGTCCCCTAATCATCTTTGTTGCTCTTCTCTGTACTCTTTTTAGAGTCTCAACATCTTTTTTACATCGTGGTGACCGAAACTGGATGCAGTATTCCAAGTGTGGCCTTACCAAGGCATTGTAAAGTGGTATTAATACTTCACGTGATCTTGATTCTATCCCTCTGTTAATGCAGCCCAGCACTGTGTTGGCTTTTTTGGCAGCTGCAGCACACTGCTGGCTCATATTTAAGTGATTGTCCACTAGAACTCCGAGATCCCTCTCACAGTTACTACTATTGAGCAAGGTACCCCCTATACTATACCTGTACATTTGGTTTTTCTTGCCTAAATGTAGAACCTTA